CATAACAATAAAAGTCTTGCTCTTCTCAACCCATTGCTCAAGCCAACAAGAAAAAGAAGCCATTAATAGTGATAATCTAACTTTTTAGGCGGTGCCCGTTTGGGCAAGCCTCCTCAAGTACTCATATCTTGAAAAAAAAAAATTGATACAATAATGGGGATTTTGTTTTTGGTCGTCTACTCAAATACTCATATCTTGGGAAAAGGATGACAAAATAACATAGATTCTATGTTAAAAATTGAATAGTCTGGTAAACTAATTTTTTTTTTCGAGTTGAAATATTAAAATATGATTTTGTAAATGGACTGAAGTAAATGTTATTTAAAAAAACCGTGAGAAGTTCCTATTTGATCTTGTAGTTAAATATAAAATGATATGATATAAAATTATTTGGATATCTATATAATCTATATAATATATCAATTATAATCTCAAAATTAAAACTGTTTCACCATTCGTGTGAAAATAATCAAAGATTTAAAAAACATATTACAGGCTTTTCTTGGGGATTCTAATAATCTATTTGTAATACCCAATATATATATATATTGATATGAATAATAAAATATACATACATACATACATACATATATATATTGTTATTCATAGATTGAGAAGTTAAAATATCATTAAAAGAAAATTTGATTTTAATAATTAAAGTAAATTTTCCTTGATAATTAAATCTTAGAATTTTAATTTCTTAGTAGTTTAATTAGGTAGTTGTTTGATAAAGATTCTCAAAATAATTTGAAATTTAAATAAAACAAAACTTAAGCAATTTTCATCACATTTTGAAAAAAATATTAAAGAAAAAATGAATAAAGTAATTAAATAAGACTAGGGTTTAAGATGCAGTAATTTTAAAATAAATAACGCTACATATCTACACAAAGATATTCTAAAAAAAATTAATTAACAAAAAGCAAAACTCTGGGCCCTATATATAATTTTAGCTTGGGGGTTAAGTAAGCAGTTTTCTTCAAAAATTTAATGTTACATCACCACTCCTCTCATCAGTATAAGTTGTTCAAAGTTTCATTCTGTGATCTACATCTTTTACCAGGTAACTCTAGTTTATTTTATTCCTTCGTCATTATTTCCTAAGATTTTTCTTCTTTAATAATATCCTTAGAGCCATATGTAAAACAAAAGCTCTAGGACACCAAATTCATAACTAGTAAATTTGTTGAGTATTAAGCAATACTTTGACACAAAAAGATTCCTATGGTCGATTTAGATGTGAGAAGTTTAATTAGAAGTATATAATCTTAATGAAACTTAGATTAAAATTCATAATCTTTTAAATAAATTGAAGAGAATAGTCTTATTAACCTTTTGTATCACACACGAGGTGATATGGACGAGACATGAATTCATAGCAGCTATAGATGAATCTTAGTTAGTAACAAAGCGGGATCTCTATTATTGATCTCAGTTGTTGAGTGTATGAATAGCAAGGTGGTATTATTCATTTTCACCTTTTCTATGCTTTATAGCTTTAATTACTTTTTATTTGTGTTTATTCTAGTTCATTGGGGAAGCAATTCCAAATGGTTTTATCTTTCTGTGATGTGTCCAAATCATAGAAATTGATGTCAAATTTTTTAAATTTAAAGCTTCTTTTGATTCCATAAAAAAAATAGTTTTAATTCTAACTAAGAACTAATCTTTTTCTGAATTTCATAATTTTAAGATCTTTATCTATAATTAATATTCTTAAAAAGTCTTTACATGTCATTTTCCCAACGAAATTAAATATTAGGTTTGAATCCAATTTCATTGTATGTAAGCGATGACTGACAAATTAATGAACTAAAAAAAAACTACTAATTCCAATGTTTTTAAAATCAACAGAATATTTTAAATTGTTATATATTCATAATTTTTTGAGTCCTTTTGTATAATTTTAAAACTTTTTGTTATTCTAGCTAAGTAACAAGATTCAGAAGGACATTAATTTATAACCCGCCTTCTCTACTTTTAAAAAAGCAATATTGAAAATTAATTGGCTAGATAATGTGTTTGAAATTTCTATGGGTTAAAGGACATTTGTGTGCTTTAAACTATTTCTGCAAAAGCATATGATATACTAGACAAAATTTTAGTTAGCTAGAACATATGTTTGAAAGTTCTATGGGTTAAAGGACATTTGTTTGCTTTAACTATTTCTGCAAAAGCATACGGTATACAAGACAAAATTAATTAGCTAGGTCATATGTTTGAAAGTTCTATTGGTTAAAGGACATTTTTGTGCTTTAACTATTTCTGCAAAAGCATATGATATACTATCTTGTCATATTAAACTTAAATAATTTAAAAAAAAGTGCAATATTATCCCTATTTTTAACAAATATTAACTTTGACTGTTAGTTGTTCTAAAATATTAAAAATACAATCATATAAGTGAGTCCCTTAATGGACATTATATGTACAAGTCAAATTTTACTAAAGACTATTATCGTGCCACTGTATTAATGTCATGGATATTTTTTCCTTTGGTCACATCGCAATAAGTTGTAGAATGACAAGGAATTTTCTCAGCTAAGAGTTTCGTTGGCTTAACATGTGCTATTATTTTAAACTTTCATGAAAAAACAGTAGTAGTATAGATGCATTAGTAATCATTTTTAATTTATTTTTTTAAATTTACATGCGAAATCATATTTATTTTTCTATAATAATAAACTACAATCATAAATGTGAATTAAAGTACTTAATCAATATTGATTCTCTTACAAGATATTTACTTGTTTTTGTTGGATTATTTTTGCTAATTTTTTGAAGTTTAAATTGTAACTTTTTTGGTCATCTAATGACTAAAGTTAACTTTTGTTAATAGTAAGGGCAACATTACTTTATTTTCAAAGTACTTACGTGAGAATTTTGTTAGTGAGCGGTCTAATGTAAGCGCTCTTAGATAAACCCCTGGAACCCAATTCTGAAGTTGTTTTGAATAAACAAAAGTTTAGATAATCTCATAATGGTCATCTGTTTTTTTTTTTTTTCAATGCGGATACATAATATCAAGGTCTAAGTCAATCAATATGCATAGAGAAAATGATACGTTAGTGGTGGAATAAAAATAATTTTTATATATTTACGTTATTTTATTTTCAAAATTAAGGTTGCGTAAACAAAACGGCAAAATCACAGAAGTCTGGGCTTTTTTAGTCTGTGTCCGCATTTTTTCTTGAGTCAAACCTACCTAAGTACTCATATCTTGGAGAAAATGACACAATAATGAGATTTTGTTTTTGGTCCTACCGTAGATCCTATGTTGGAAATTAAATAGTCTGTGTATATTATTTTTGTTAAGTAAAAATATTTAAAATATGATTTTGTAAATGGAGTAAAGTAAGTTATGTAAAAAATAACCTTCATTAAAATAATAATAATAATAATAAATTTTCCAATTCCCATGCATATGTGAACGTATTTAAGAGTGCAAACACTTGGTTCTATTCTTATCGTCTCAGTTATCCTAAGATAAAATATATATTTTTTATCTATGCGTGTGTAGAGAAAATGGCACAATAGTAGAATCAGATGAATAAAAATGATGTGTGTGTGTATTAAAGTCATTTCACTTTGAAATTTAAACATTAAGTTCGCGTAAAGAAAACGACATATAATAATAGAAATCTTTCTAGTCTCAACCCATTGTTGAAGCCAACATGGAAAAGATGTCATTAATGGTGACAAATTATCTTTTTAGTCGGTATCCACATTTTTCTTTGGTCAAGCCTACTCTAGTACCATATCTTGGAAAAAAATGACACAATAATATACTTTAACAAATTTCGCGTATGTTTGTATTTGTGTGTATTATATGGAAAAAAAATTAAATCTTTAATAATCTCTATACTTTTAGCGAGATTTAAATGAGATCCTTGTTTATAGTTCAAACTATTAGAATGACAACCTAAAGTTTGTACTGTTATATCATTAATCCTACCCAATCACTATATAAAAAACTATGAAAATAACTAAATTAGTTTGTTTTCGTTAGTGATATTCAGATTAAAATATAGTTTTTGACATTAATAATTTATATTTCTGTGACAAACAAAAAATTGGGACCCAAAATTTAGATCTTGTTTGATTTTGTTCCCTTTTTTGTTTTTAAAAACTATCTTGTAAATTAAATTTTAAAAATTATTTTTGAAACCAAAAATTATGTAAATTTGAAAATAATTTGATTTAAAAAATCGGAAGATAATGGTGGTCACCAATGGATAATGATAGTAGTTAACTATAGCTGATAGTAGCATTCAGTAATCAATCATAATGTGCTATAAACATAAAAAAGAAAACACAAATAATTCTAATATCTTTTATTAAAAAAAAAAAAAACAAAAGATGAGAACAGTTTTGCAAATATTTAAATCCAGAACACTTATCCAAACAAATTGTTTCTATATTTTTATTTTAAAAGTAGTTTTTACAGATAGAAATCAAACAAGCCATTATTTTTTTTTATAAATTTATTTGAAGTAGGGAGAGAACAAATCGAAGTGCTCAAGAGTCAAGTCCAAAGGAAAAAGTAGTTGCGCAATCCAAATGGTTCATATATTTTTTTCTTTTTGTTATATATCTGTATTATATTATGTAAGATATTAAAATAACATTTTCCTTCAATTAATGTCTCCCAATCAAATTCATTTTTTATTTCCAATATCAAATGGACATAATCTCCAACAAATTGAAGAATATGCCAATAATGTCTCTTCATTTTCTAACTTCTTTGCAGGCCCCGCCATCCTTAGATTAATTATAAATAGTGGCCACTGATTGATACAAAAGTAGACAAGGGATATTACTTGAGCCGAGAAATTTCTACCATTAACATCATAATCAACAGTTTTAATTTACATGCAAATAATTAATCATCCGTCCTATTTAAAAATTGTGCTTATGAATTTCTAAGCGTGTGTATATATATACTACAACCTTCTCCTCCAACCACTTCATCAACCTAAGAAGCCTTGAACCTATCCAACATGGCAAATCTTTGTTTTCATTTCCCCTTTCTCTTGTTCTCCCTACTTTGTTTTCATTTCACTGTATGCCTCACCAATTTTACAACGAATGATGAATTGGCACTTCTTGCTTTCAAGTTTTCTGTTAAGGACCCTGACAATCACTTGGCTAATTGGTCCAACTCTTCTTCCATTTGCAATTGGGTTGGGGTTATGTGTGATGCTCATCATGAGAGAGTAATAGCCTTGAATCTTGGTGAGATGGGTCTCAAGGGAACCTTGCCCTCAAAAATTGGGAATTTGTCTTTCCTAGTTAAACTTGACCTTCATAGTAACAACCTTCATGGTGAGCTGCCAAAAGAGTTGATTCCATTACACAAGCTGCAAATTCTCAACTTGAACTACAATGAATTCAATGGAGAAATTCCAATTTGGATTGGAAGCTTACTTATGCTTCAACACTTCCATCTCCGTAATAATAGTTTTGGAGGTTTTATTCCTCCAAATGTTTCTAATTTGTCAAAGTTAGAGACATTAGATTGGAGATTTAATTCTATCGAAAGATCCATTCCATTTGAGATTGGAAAACTTCAATGTTTGAAGATTTTATGGATTGGAGGAAACAAGCTTTGAGGAAGAATACCTCCAACTATTTCTAACTTATCCTCACTTGAGATGTTGTCTTTGTCTTACAACTCCTTAACAGGTATGTTTCACATAACTAATGTGTTATTAGCATTTCTTCCATTTTACAATGATATAAATTTATCTTATGTTTGTAAATATTCCTTTTGCTTAATCTTAGTGTAGATTTTTGTGTGATTTAAGATAATTTGTCTTATTATCAAGCTCAGTTAATCTTCTTTGGCGTCAATTTTCCAGTTATGTTTTTGGTCAAAATAAATTCATCTACAAACTTCTATTAATTATCATTTGGATTAAGGGTTATTTTTACCTTTCAATTGTATGCAAAAAATTATTAGGGACCCTAAATTCAACTATAGGTCATTTATATTCTTCAAACTCAAAGATTAATTGTTCTGTCACTTGCCGTTTTCTCCATCCATTTTTTCCATTAGTGGGCCCATTTTAAATTTTTTAATTTTTTATAATATAAAAAATTATTCTCTCTCCCCTCCACTTTTTCTCTCCCCCTCCGACCAAGATCTCCGTCTCCCATCTCCGTCCACCTTAGCTCAGAAATCTGCAGCTGCTTTACTCTCACGCCGAACATGCTGCACCTGCACTTCCCACTCTCTTTGCACTTAAGCTCTGAATATACATTTTGCGACTGCGGACTCCAAGCCCTGCTATCCTCTTGTCCTCTTTTCTTCCTTGTCTTCAATGGGCTTCTTCAAAAAACATACATGAGATTATTTTTAATAGTGTATGTTTAAATCAATTGTAAAATTAATTTCAAAATTAAATACAGATAATTTTAATTAAATGTTGACCCGTCAATGTTCTACAAAGTGTAAGGTAAGTTAGACTTTTTAAAATTTTATGAATTGTGGAGATTTATATAAATTTTATAATAGTAATTTAGAATGGTCTCTATAATTTTCAGATTTAAATCTCAAAGTTTTTAACTCTATATAAAAAAGTGCAATTCAAATAATCAGAATTAGAATTTTATGTTTGAATGAACCGCATGGGGAATGGGGATGTGGTGGTAAAGTTTTGTATAATATATATATATATATATATATTAAATTTTTATGTATGTTACTTGAATTTTTATATAATATGAAAATGTTGCTCCACAAGCCTTTATCTACTTTTTTATTCTTTCATATTTCTCTATATATTTTATTAAGCTTCCTAGACATTTTTTTTAATCCTTCAATATTTTCTTGTATCTTTCAGTAATGTTCGACACAAAACAAGTGCAACTTTTTCCTTTTCCAAAAAATAGTTATATATCTCCATTCTCCAATAGACATTTTGTTGTTGGTTTTCATGTGTTGTCAATGTAACTACGCATCTTTCTAACATGATATACATCATTTGAAGTAAAATAAAATAATTGTGAAGAACCTTTTTGGATCATCACTGTTCAATCTGAAATAGTTTTGAATCTACGTGAAGCTCAATAAAATATATACTGAAACATTAAATACTATATATATATAACCCAAAAAGCCATTCTTTTCTTTTTGTTAGACAATTATGTGTAGAAATAAATTAGTATAATGTTAAAAAAATTAGTTTAGTAATCAACTTGTATGTTATATAGAAAAAAAATTCTATTTGTTTTATGATCTATTTAGTTTTTTTTATTTTTTTCTGGCTGCATGTAGCTTGTGATATTATATTAAACGTGTGTAACGTTGAATGCATATAGAACCAAAAAAAAAAAAAAACTGTGTGCAATTGGCACTGTAGGAGGGGATCCACTTCCACATGTCATGGGTTATATTTTTATTTTGTAAATTTATATAGAAATCAACAAATTATAAGTACATGAATATTTTTTCCTTTTCACATTTTTTGTGAATAATAATTACAAACATCATATTTTTGTAAGCACATTCCATGAAATATGTTATAAGAAGTGGATGATTTTTGAAATTAAATAAAAAATTATAAACTTGAAAAATGATGCCTTGCTAAGCAATGGCCTCAATCATCTCATAAAGTTATATTATATCACTTTAACACACTGCAAGGAAATTTAAAATTACAAAATATATCTCTCCTTAAAAAACAATCTCATATACTTAGATTTAAATTAATTTGTTATTACATACCAAGATGCATTGGAAACTTGATTTTGCTTAATTAAAAACACTTCAATCTTGGTCACAATAATTTACAAGGTTTAATGTTATCCGGTTATATTTTGGCACCATCCATCATTTTTTTCTTTTGTCTTTTGAAACTTTGATAATTGTGAACTTAAATGCTAATGGCTTTCTAGTCAAAATACAGCTATCTGGTGACAATAACAATATTTATTGCTCCCACAAGTGTACGTAATTGATATAGTAATAAATTCAGAGCATTTTGAATCAAACCCAGAAGAAGATAGTGATATTTGTTATTTATAAAAATAAATAAGAGTTTTGAAAAGATTTTAATAACTGATTAAATAACACAAATAAATAAGGGAAAGATAAAAGCGATGAAAACAATTAATGAACAATCAGAAACCAAGGGATTAGGTTCACTTACCAGAATGTGTTACTCTAATCTAGTTGTTTATTTCCCTTCTTTTACAGTGATAATTGTGTCTTTGGTATCCCAATTCCTTTCCAGTATATAAGGATGTATTTAATTAGAGTTAAATTTAGATCCCCCTAAACTCTACTCTCTAACTAAATCATAAAGCTATGATTTGAGTTACCAGCAACCTCTAAATTATTCCGACTATCTCTCTAGGTCTTGGTAAGTCTTTCACTTTCTAGGTCATCAAACCACCCACAGACAATCTATATAGCAGTGATCTATATAAACGAAAATTCATCTCAACTAGACAAAAATTCTCATAGACAAAAATTGATGTTCAATAGGAATATAAACGAAACCAAAAAGGAATAAAATCCATTATAGCTAGGCCACTCCCTACCTGATAGGGAACAAGAAATAATAGAGTTAAAACTACAATCCTAGATAAGAGATATAAAAAGAATCTAAAGAAGATGAAAAGAGAGAAAGCTCCTAACTCTGAGAACTCATCTAGACTCCGTAATATGCCTCCTAACCTTCAGATATGAGATTGGATTATTTTGAGAGGCTTTTGGGAGGTTTGTTTATAATAAATTGATCCTTCGATCTTGGGCTTAGAATTTGTCCAGATCATGTCTTAACGTATCTGAGTGACATTTTAGTAGCCAGAGGACCGTGATACACATGAATGCATGAGATATCTCTACAATCCTTTCCCAACTAAAGTTCCCCACATGTGTGTTAATGTGTGCTTTTATTTGATGAATGTATTCATAGAATTACATTCAATAACACCTCTTAGAAGCCATGAGTTTTGAAGGATGATTCCTTGAATTTTATTTTAAATAAAATGGTAATCATTTAAGGGATGATACACAAACTCAAACAAAAAAAAAAATCTTTAGTTCTAGTTGGTTAAAAAAGGAATTTGGTTGTTGTTAATTTTAATGGTGCTAGTGAGGGCATCTTCTCTTCCGGAGCATCTAAGTTCAATTTTTTATTTTTTTTCCAAATTAGGAAGTAGCTACTTCTTCTTTTAGATGATTTTTTTAGCATTACTACTTAAGATCAACATTTGATTTTATTTTTTATTTTCATCTTTTGTTTTATTATTAGTTTGTTTATTCATAAAACTTCTTGTTTTAATAATTCTTTATGCATAAAAATAAGTCTTTAATTATTTTAATTTTATTAATGCCAGCCAGGACATGTCTTCTCATTTGGGAACCAATTTTCTGGAAACAATTTTTGAAAGAATGGATGTACGATGTTGATATCCAATGAAAATTTTCAGTTATTTCTATATTTTTTGTTGTAAGCATCATAATTTTGAAACTTAACCATACTTCCAACAACTCATAATGCATTCCTGTCATATTTTTCTAATTATTTTCTTTGCATTATGATAAACAACAAGTACATTGCTTTTCATAGAATTTGTTTCTTTCATTTGGGATTTTTGAACCATAACGCAATAAGTATATATTCTTGAAGACTGTCAATTTATCAAAGTTAAATACTTTGTGTCAAACAAATATATTATATTGATTGTGATTTGCTTAAAGTTATTATATTATTATAGGTAATTGATCGGAATATTGTCTCCTCAATTCTACATAGGCCAATTTTGTTGCCACATTGAAAGAAATACTATAGGAGATACTCTATAAAATCAAAAGTACTCATCTTACAAATATGAAAATTATATATATAATGACATGCCTTTAACTTGTCTTGCCTCGTCATTGAAGAAGCATTGAAAAGTTAACCATGCTCTCAAGAGGTCATATTGTGTTATCGTCATATTGTTCAAATGGTTTCAATAATGCATTGCTTGAAACAACTTCTCCACTCAACATGTCCATGATAATCCCTTCAATATATTTATAAGAAATATGTAATAGTTTAGTGGGCATTAAATATCTACAACAATTTTACATGGAAAAGCTTTTTATGGTACTTAAACGTGTTCATTCAAGAAAGAAAAATTAATCAGTTGCTCATTGAATCATTTTTAAGGAATTTTTTTCATGAAACACCTTTTTCTAGATGTGTCACATCTAATTACTTTTGCCACAGAATATTAACACCATTTAAAGGCTTATATTATAAATTAAATATATGTACATATGGCCAATAAAATGTATCATAGTTGCTCCTTTAATCCCTTATTTAGTCCCCTCTTTCTCTCCTGCACATGGCAATATCCAATATGACATTGATAGATAATGAAACATGTTCACAATGCAGCAATATAAACATGTTCATTATCCCAATGTTGTTCTTCTCCTGGCAATAAAGGCCGGATGTAATTGTGATGCCTCTACAGTCCGAATATATTTTAGTTTTTAAATTTAATTTATTATTTTTCCTGTAAAATATAAAAAGAAGAAAATATGCATATTTTACATATAATTAAGAGATAAGAGAAAAGTATATAAATATTAATTAAATAGGTATGGAAT